TTAAACTATTTGATAAGATGTTGCATGACCTCTAGATCTTGACAAGGGCTGCTCACTCCCTTCCTTCTCTTCGGGTTTTTATTTCCTTCTAAAGAGAGCTTGTGTGATATTGGTAACTTGAGGTGGCATAACAAAGTCTCGTTGACATAAATTACTCTAGATTTCCTCATCGTTATCATATATCTGATTTGAAACTCTGCCTTGTGGCCCCGGTCATGCCTTCTAGCGATGGTCTCACTTCCTTCTTTTCCTTTCATATTCATCATGGTTTTTCTGATAGCAAAATGACGGAAGTGTTAACCCCTCTTTGGGCGTATGGTTATGCCCCTTTGGTCTCTTGATCCTTCAAAGGGGTGTATCTCTATTTGCCATCACATGTCTGACCCCACTCCTGATTGCCAATTGTCGTTCCCTTTCATTGCCATCGAAGGTTGAAATGCCAAAGAAGATTTCGTAGCAGGTCTTGCTTGGGAAGTGTGAAAACCTTGGACTGAGTGCTGAAGTATTCCTCCTTTGAACGTGTTAGTTTTCTCAATAGACACATAAAACTCTCAGCCAGCAGCTCCAAAGGTGGTGAGCAAGCTAGCAACCCAAACTAATGATCGAGATCTTCCTCTTGCCTCCTATAGAGAATGCATCATTGCGAGATCAAAATATAGAAAGAGTGCCTATGCATGCGATCCATGATCTTAACTCAGTTGTAAAATTTGCAAACTATTTAACCTTCTTTGGAATTTGCTAAAATAGTTCTAGCTCCATGCTGGTTCCCATAGTGCTCCATCTTGACTACTTGAGAGTAGGTAATATACTTCCAAAACATTTTGGCAAGGAAGAAAAAAAAATGACTTGATTGTTTATATTATGTGAATGTGAAATGAATTTATTGAACTCCTATTCTATGTTGTAAATTTCTCTGTTGTGTGTTTCCTGAATATGTGTTGATGTTATTTCATCGGACGGTCATTGTAAAAGGAAAAGAAACCCGTGACTGTTTTTTTGTTATCTGGTTTAAGAATGGAATCTGCAAAACTTTCAAAGGTGAGTTTGAAGCATCTCAGTGTTCCTGAAAAAAAAAGAAGAAAAAAGTCATGGCTACTTCTAGTGTGCTCAAGTTAAAATGGGGTATCAACGTGTCTTTAGTGTCAAGTTGAATTTGTTTTTTACTTTCTGATTTTTTATAGTTCAGTGTTCTGAGGGTCCTCCCATTGAAGTTCTTTATCACATTTAATGATCACTACTCTTTCAACAAATTCATTTCTTTAGTGCCTGCCCTATGTGCTTGCAGGCCGCCAAGAAACAGTGTTGGGCTATTACGAGAATTCATATAATAATTGATTAATTGTGTTCTTTTTTCTGAAATGTTTATAAAGAATACAGAATAGTTTCAACCACCGTATGGAACTTGGAAGTCTAATTTGTTATTTGTTTACATTTCAGACACGGTCAAAACAAAGCCTTTGGCCACAAATTGAGGCAACGTTCAAGCAGATAGACACTGCAGCAACAGAGCTGGAGTGCTTTGTGGCTCTTCAAAAGCAAGAGATGTCAGCTGCTTCGCACAGGATTAGTGGTATCTCAGAGGAGGTTCAGAAGCAAAAAGAGCTGGAGAGAACTCTGCAGCTACGTTATGGTAATCTTTTGGCGGAGTTGGAAAAGATGCAGAAAATCATGGATGATCGCAAGGCACTGGCACAAAAGGAGGAAGAAATCGCAGCGGAGAGTCGCGCTCTTCAGTTGGCTGAGGCTGAGGCTGAGGCTAATCAATCCGTAGGAGAAAAAGCTGATAATAGTTATGAATCCATGTCTGCATCAGCAGTAGTCAATTGTGAAAACTCTATGCCCGTTACCTCAGCCCCCAATGAATTAACGGGCGAGCAACTGAACTTGTCCGTGAGACATGAACATGGCACATCTAATGCCATGGATATCGATGCAGAGAAAGAAAGTGCAGTGGTGAGCTCAGATATTGGCTTAACTGATGACAAACTACCTTCTGCAGTGGAAGAGAATGCATCACTGCCTGACAATGGCTTTGAAGATTCTGATAAAAGTCGAACCATTGATGTTCCTTCTCAAGAACTCTTGGGCCCTCATGCAAATGGCTCTCCAGACTCTATTACCGCGGAAAATAAGATCAGCAATGAGTCAGTTGATGGAGCAGCTATTCAAAATGTAGAGTGTAGTACCAATAATGTGGAGGAAGTCGAAGATGTTGAAACGCAGCAGCTTAACACTGAAGCTGAAAACTCAGAGTTTCATTTGACTAATCTCGATTCTTCTGCTGCACCTGCATCTTCTAATGAGGATGGCCCTCGTAACGAAGGGGAAGCAACGGAATAGAACGTCTAGATGATGTAGATGATTCGGGTTGTGTTGGCTTGTTTTTCTGGTTGGATAAGAGAGGAAGAGTTGTTGATTCCATGAAATAGTGTTATAAATTCAATGTGTAAGAAGAGAAGAGAAGAGAAGCTGCTGGGATTGTGACCGCCATAGGGGTTGAGATCTAAATTCCCATTGGAAAGCTGCTTGTTGACATGACGGTGTATTCTTTGAAGGCAGAGATGAACTTAAGATGATGCAAAAGATTTGTATTCCTTTGTTTTTATAGGATTTTCTTTTAAGAAATATCTTATGAAAGCTTCATATGCAAGAGGAGTTTTGATGACATTTCACTGATTCATTTCTGCCCCTCATTTTATCAGGTGTTCACACATCAGCCAAGTTGCCTTTTTTTTTTTTCTTCTTCTTCTCGACGAATATGGGATGGAGAATCAAACCATCGATTTTTAGGATGATAGTTGATGTTTTATTACACGAGCTATGTTCGAAATGTTGATTTACTTACAAGTCAATAAAATGATTTGTTAATGATTCTTATAAAAAAGACTCCAAGCTCTTGTTAATTTGTGTCCAAATTTGTTCGAAGTTGCAAATTTGACTTCCAACTAATAAGGTAACATGAGCATGATTGTTAATATAGAAGGAAAGAAAAAAGAAGCAAGTTTCTTTCTATTAATAACATAATGGTTTTGTTCTAATCCTAATTGTTCCAAGGTATTGAGTGTTTAAGAGTATATAAATATAATGGATAGACTCCCATGGTCTCAAACACTCGACTGGACTGTGTGTAGGAAAATTAAGTACACATCCAAGTTACCGGTTAGAATAGCTGTCGTAGGAGAATAGACTGTTATGACAAGTCTCATTCATGAAATTATTCATGAAATTGTATGTATTTGCATTTACTGAGTATTTCTTAAAATACTCAAGTCATTGCCTACTCTATTTTTTCAAGTAAAGGCAAAGCTCCCCTGTACGGCGACGGTGTCATTGTACCTAGGAGACCGTGGCACATGCTTAAAATAGTTTCACATTTTAAATTCATAGACTATAGATTCGTATAGGTTCATTGCATTTATATTTAGTAGCATAGGTCATTTAACTTTATGCTATTTTCTGTTATTTCAATATGCATTGTTTTGTTTCAAAAGCCTTAGAAGCGACGTGTAAGAACAAGTTCAAATGAGGTATTCCGCATTAAATGTTCATGATATGTATACAGGAGATCGTAAGTAGAAAATTTAAGGTTGTTACATTAGATCATGCTTATTTCACTTGTGATGTGTGGTCGATTAAAAGAAATCTTGTGTAGGTCTTGGATTTGGGCTTTGGTAGCACAATGAGGAACAACCAACCTTGGTTTCCTTCCAATTTCTTTATTTGAGCTATTGTACGAACGCGAAGTTTGGATCTAAAAAATTTAAAGAGAGGTCGATAGAGAGTAGAATCAGAGGAAGGAGAACCATAAAAAATAAGGTGTTAAGAAACAACCATAAGTTGTGGGCTATAGAGACTCAAGATTGAGGCTTCAGAATTAGGGCGATTACTCAATTATGAGAAAATGGCAAGAGACAAAGAGAGAGAGGGTTTGATGTTGGCTATGAAGAAGAAAGAGCAGTTAGAGGAAGAAGAGGGCAGAAACTGAAAATGTAGACTCTAGGGTGTATTTTAGACAAAAAAGTAGAAGGTCGACGGGCTTGTTGAGATTCTGTATATTTCTGGTGAGAACGCTGATGAGGATCCTGAGATTAGAGTTTCTGTGAAGGATGAAGGACGAATTGGGAAGAAAATGAAAGAGACTATATTGGCTAAGGGGAAACCGATTGTGTTGGAAAAGGTGAGGTTGTATGCACAAAGTAGGGGGAAGAGTGGGCATGCGAAAGATGATTTGAAGGCCTAAAGGGTGGAGCTGCCTACAGCAGCCATGGAAATTGCCCTTGTGGAAAGAACTAGATAAGTTGTAACAGTCTAAGCTCACCACTAGCAGATATTGTCCATTTTTGATCCATTACGTTTTGCTGTCAGCCTCACTGTTTTAAAACGCGTCTACTAAGGAGAGGTTTCTACACCCTTATAAGAACATTTTGTTTCTCTCTTCAACCGATGTGAGATCTCACAATCCACCCCCTTGAGAGCCAAAGTCCTCGTCGACACATTGCTCAATGTTCTAACTGACTCTAATACCATTTATAACAGTCTTCTCGACCTTACAAAGTTTCCCAACTTCTCTTCAAACTTGTTCCTCGTTTTAAAAGTGAGGTCGGCGTTCACCACTTTATCCATCTTTTGAAGGAACATGGGAAAACATTACATTTGTTCAATTAAGCACCACATAAAACTCTCATTTATTCCCTTTTCTTCCTTTTATATCTTTTCATTACTTTACCCTTTAACCTTTCCCAAATTCTTTCCAACTCGACGCTTTAAATCATGGACTATGACGTGGACTAGCACGAAAAATACAAAAAATAAATATAAATCATGTCTTTATTACATTACGATGATTAGAGAACAAGATACAAATTTAAATAACACAACCCTTAAACATAAGATTAACGCCCCAAAACGACTCTCTTTTGTGACCGTGCAACTCCCAAACGCTCCCTCATCTCGACCAACAGTCAGCAATCACCTTAAAGTGAAAAGTAGAACCTGGTGAGTATAAACATACTCAATGAGCAACCTACTATCGTCTCTCATCACATCTTTATCCTATTAAGTTATCATGGGTTTTTCTCTCAGTTTGAGGAAGTTTAGACCTAGATACTGCAACTATATGAGCTTTTGGTGAGACCTTACAGTAATAGGCTCTCATATCATCGCATCTCGGCTCATTCAACTATTTTCAACGTGAAGTGTTTGTCTCAACTAGTCAAAATCTATACTCTTAATCGAGAAAAAAAAAAAAAAAAGTTATGGATAAGGTTAAGGATTGGTAGTTAAGATTATTTGTGTCTCCTTGTTAGAGGTGTCATTAATAGATTCCACCGTTTTATTGACACGTGTACAGCCTTTTCATTTTTTGTTTCTCATCCTATTCCGTACGATGACGTGGCTTTTGTCGTCCACTCATACACACTTCCATATCTTCCTTTCTCTCTCTCTCTCTTTTTCTTTTTTTTTTTATTTCTTTAAATGCCCATCAATTTTGGAATATATTTTACCTTAATTTTCTTCAATTTTATATTTTCTTTAAAATTAAATATCAAAAAATATTAATAACCTTTAGCTACAAATTTGAAAATAATATTAACCCTCTTAACCTTTATTAAGAATAATCAAAATTTTATAATTTTTTTCTAGAAATTTAAGGATATTAATATATTTTTTGAAAAATTCTTATGAGTTAATAATTTGATATATTTTTTGAAATTTAAGAGTAATTATAAAACTATTCTTTGCAAATATTTTAAATTCCAAAAGTAAAAATTACAATTTATTATTATTTATTATTTATTATTTATTTTTGATTTTTAAGAAAATAAAAATTATTGGAAAAAAAAAATTCAAAATAAAAAAACAAAAACAAAAATTCATCGGTTTATTAGTCTTAAAATTTCAAGTGGGTTCTTATAGTTTGGAAATGATTTCATTTATCACCATATAATAATATATATTTTGTAACGACCTAGGCCCACCACACTAGATATTATCTTTGTTGGACTTCCTAGGCTCTAAAACTCGACCTAGACCCACCACAGCAGATATTGTCTTTGTTTTGTTCTCCCCTTCAACCAATATTTGACATTATAGTTGAAGTTAGATAAAAAATATAAATGATAACAACTTGGATCCATAATAACTTCTCTTTATCATTTTTTTTTCCACTAAAGAAATCATAATGTTTTGTGTTAATAATTAATATTGGGTGGGGGCACAAGGAATCATTTTGGTAGCTAAAATATCACTATAGTTTATGTGGATTCTTTGCTTTGCTTTAGGCCTCTCCTCGAACAAAATACGTCTCCCCTTAATCATGGCTTGGATACCATGTTAGACGAACACAGTCTCATTCATGGCTTTGCTTTGAGCTTCCCCGAAAGATCTCATACCAATGAAGAGTATATTCTTTGATTATAAACTCATGATCATTCCCTAAATTAACCAATGTAGGACACTTTGATCATACAAGAAGTAGGTAATATGGTGATATTGTACGAGAATGGAGTAGACATGGAGTGTTATACTTTGTTATTTAATATAATTTATTTAAAATTTAAAATTAATTTTTTTTTTTTGTAAAAAAGGTTTAAAACGGAATTAAATTTAAAATATTCCACCGATAAAGTGATTGATTAAAGAACCCAAACTCTATATTTTAAATTATTTTAGTTAAAAAAAGCATAAAAGAAAGAGGAAGAAAAAGTGAAGTGTCCTGCAATTGTACGTTACACTGTCCGGCCAAATCACCTAACTCAACCAACATATATATATATATATATATATATATATATATATATATATATATATATATATATATATATATATGTATGTATAAAGACATATTCATATCCTTAAAGCATTGCCCATATCTTATAAATAAATAAATAAAAGTAAATTAATTCATTACCTTTTTTCTCCACCACTAACTTTTATACATATATTTAAACAAAGCCAAAAGTTAACCTAATAAAATGGAAAGTAAAAGATAGAGTAATTAGGCATCTAAATATGGGTAAGTTAATAGTATGAAATTGCACTATGTGCTTCATTCTTCAATGCGAGTTTGTTGATATCCTAGGTCAACCTTCCATCTTCGCGATTTCTAGAAGTTATTAGCTCTACCCACCGAGAATAAGTCGGCTTTTGAATTTTGAAATTAGTTAAGGTATTCATATGTACTAACATATCATAGTAGAGAAGTATCCCGGTGCACATGACATACAAAAATGCATGAGGTTCTCATAGTTTAAAATCATAGCATATAATAAGAATCATTTCGTTCTTCTTTTCTTTCATGTCCTAGTACGCATATGAGTCATGTATGTGTAGTGTCATGGTCGTACTTCTTCAATCATGTGGCGTCGTGATCTTGACACGCTCATGACAAGTCTTAAGGAGGAACTCAAGCTCCATTCACATTTTTCGCCTGACTTTGTGGCTTCGTCGGACTGTCAACGAGGTTTGCTTTCACCAATCGAACATAACTTGTACGGAATCCAAGCTTGTTCGGTCACACAAATCGTTCGTGCGTGCATATTCAATCGTGTGCAACATAATCACATCACATCTCATTGTCATCTCGGTTCCCAACAACATAATTCATACATCATGATGTTGTCCCATATCTCGGGACACATCGACCATCTAGGATTGCTTGGACACATCCGTTGGGAATTAACCCATGAGTTGATCATGTCATCCCTGGTAAGGACAAGAGTATGATCAAGTGTTACTCTTGTTGAAAATACGGACACTATGCAGTAGAGTTATGGTGAACCTTCTCACAAAAGGAGAAGACTTGGTGGAGACCAACATGTGGTACCTAGACTATGGAGTAAGCAACCACATGATTGAAGATCGAGATGTTGAAATTAAATTTCTCTGATACCAATTTGTAGAAAAATAAAGCCGCTTCGATACCAACTTGAGAGGAAAAAAACGCTAGCTTTGAATCTAACTCATTTAGATAACTCTCACGAAATTTTAAAGGGGGTGTTGAAAGGGGAGAGACAAAAAGACAGAGAATTCTCAAATGACCTCTCTATTACACACGGTACAAAAATTGAATTTGCTCTCTACTCTCTCTTTCTTGTTTTCTTGTCTCTGCTATTTCATCAATAAGTCAAGCCTTTATAAGCTTTCCTAAGGGGTTGGCCTTAACTACCCATAATTTTCTGACCGATTTTCTGTTCTTTTAGTAATTTTCTCACATATTAGCTCTCCTTCCCTTAATTATGCCCTTTTGACTGAATTGAATTAAAAGAAACAAAATTCATTTAAGTTTATTTTCCAACGCGAGAAAAGTTCAAAAAACTTGATGAGAAGCTCATTGGATACGTGAAGTTTTGCAGTCAAAAGATCCCTCTTATTCCAGTGGAAGAACAATGATCAACGTTTACTAACCAAGGTATACTATATCCCAAACTGAAGAGTAACATTATCAGTCTTGGTCAGATGAGGGAAGAAGGAAGCATAGTGGAGTTAGCGGGCACATTCCTCAGAATGTTCTACAGAAATGGAGCCTTGTTGATGAAGGTAAAATGGTCGCATAACCGCACCAGTACAAGATACTATTGGAGACCAGCTATCCCACCTCTATGTTGATGGCACTCGCAGACCCAGCTTGGCTATGACATGCAAGACTTGGACACGTGAACTTTCAGGTGCTCAAAATGATGAGAGAGAAGATGGGTATGAAGCTACCCAAAATCATACACTCTAACCAGCTATGTGAAAATTGTCTAGTCTCCAAACAAGCAAAACTATCATTCCCAACTCAAATCAGTTTCCTTGTTGACCTACAACTGGTTCATGCAGATTTTTGTGGCTCAATCACCGCATCATTGATTGCTGGGAACAAGTATTTTCTCTTGTTGACGATTATAGTTTTTGGATTTGAGTGTACATACTCAAAGAAAAAGGAGAGGCATTATGTGCATTCAAGAAGTTCAAAAGACTCGTTGGGTCTGATCACAAGCTGAAAACCTTGAGCACCGACCGAGGTAGTGAGTTCTTATCGTAAAAATTCTCAAATTTTTGCAAAGAAGAAGGTATCAAGCGTCAACTCACCGCACAGTACACTTTACAACTACACGGTGTGGTCGAACAAAGAAATGACACCATAATGAACACTATAAAAAGCTTACTCAAGAGCATGCAAGTCCCGACAATTTTCTAGGGCAAGGCTATCGACATGAAGTTTATCTTCTAAACCGTTTACTGATGAAGGAGCTGAAAACTTAGATCCCCTACGAATCATGGTTCAACAAGACACCTCACTTCGAGTACCTAAGAGTCTTTTGTTATACAACACATGTTAAGACTGCAAAGCCATATATCGAAAAGTTAATGACAAAGTTCACTACCCTGAAAAAAGAAGAAGACGCAACAGACCTAAAAAGTGCATCGACAGCGACACCAACAAGTCCACAATTTCATCACCAGTGACACCGAAAAACATAATGAATTTTCTATAACAAGATAGCTCAGGTGAGAGCATAGAAGGATCCCCAATGGAGGATTACCCAACAAAGTTTAGTTCTCTTGCTGAAATTTAGGTGGATACACTTGAAGTAAAATTGGATCCCGACGAGTTAGTGTTGTTCGTGGTTGAGGAGCAGACAACTTATTGTGAGGCAACAAACTGAGATGATGTGACAGAAGACCATACAAAAGGAGCTTGAAGCCATTGAGAAAAACAAGAAGTGGGTGTTTAAGTTGAAAAAGAATCATGAAGGAAATGTCATCAAGCATAAAGCAAGACTCGTGACGAAGGGATTCGTGCAACGACAAGGAGTTGATTTTGAGGAGGTTTTCACGCTTGTGGCTAGAGTGGATACTGTAAGGTTGATTCTTGCCCTAGCTTCTCAACACGGGTAGGAGGTCCATCAATTGGACATATGTTGCCCAACCTGAAGGGTTCTTCATCAAAACTGAAGAGTACAAAGTTTACAAGTTGTCAAAGGTCCTCTACAATTTACTGCATGCACCAAGGGCGTGGAACATACTTCCAGACAAGAGCTTAAAGAATCTAAATTTCATGAAGTGCTCGCAAGAACAAGTAGTTTATACAAGAAAAAATGGAGCTGAAACACTCATAGTTACTTATGTACTACCTTGGTATTGATGGCATCAAAGAGTTCAAGCAACAAATGATCTCAGGTTACTCATGTACTACCTTGGTATTGAAGTGGACCGACCAAAGGAAAGATTGCATCATGCTAAAGCAATCAACCTATACTAAGAAGCTGTTGCAGCAATTTAAGATGGCATAGTGCAACCCAATCAAGTATACATTGGAAGAAAAGTTACAACTCAAAAAAGATGTTGAAGGAAGCTTGGTGAATTCCAATAAGTATAAGTGCATCATCGGAAGTCTAAGGTACTTGATTCATACTCGTCCGAACCTTTCTTATGTTGTTAGAATGGTGCATAGGTACATGGAAAAGCCTACTATGATGCATCATCAAGCGGGTCGGCACAATCTCCATTATGTGATGGGAACCACAAACTATGCCCTTAAGTATCAAAGAGGGCGAGGTCCTAAGTAACTAGTTGGTTTTATCGATATTGATTTAGCTAGAGACAGACAATATAAAAAGCACAACAGGAATGACATTTTATCTCAACGAGTTGATCTCTTGACAATTTCAAAAGCAACGAACTATGACACTATCTTCCTGTAAGGTCGAGTTCATGGCAGCAATTGCGGCATTGTGCCAAGCATTGTGGCTGAAAAATTTGTTGAGTGAAGTGAATAGAAGTTAACAAAATTCAGTAACTCTCTACGTTAACAACAAATATGTAATTGCACTGATAAAAAATTTGGTATTTCGAGAACATAACAAACACATTAACACTCACTTCCATTTTGTTTGTGAGTGTGTTGAGAAAAGACAAATCGTTGTGGAGTTTGTATGCACTAGAGAGCAACATGTAGATATTCTAACCAAGAACCTAGCGAGGGATAAGTCTTCAAAGATGCAGGAGTTGCTGGAAATGAAGAATCTTGAACTAAGTCAAGTTTACGAGGGTGATTGTGAGCTAATAAATTTGACTTAGTAGAATAAGTTACTAACTTATGGAGCAACTATGAGAGAATTTTTAGTAGTTGATAAATTGTGGACCAAGTTTAATGTTTTAGATTTTAATGGTTCTTAACTTGAGTAGAAAGTTTAGGAAACTAGTTACTGTTTTCTTTAATATAAATATTAATTAGATGTATGCTCTATAACAACAACAAAGAGAATTGAAAAGCATAAATGCTTAAGGTTTCTCTATTCAAAAGCTATCTCCTCTCAAGTTGTTTTTCCTACTTTAGTTGTTTGTTTTGACATATTTTGATCGAGGGCTACATCCAACAATGTGGTTGAGAGCTGACACCATAACTCCCTGTAGTATATTCTGAGACATTCTAATCCTTCTCGAGTAGATGTCATTTTGGAGAGTGAACATATATGGTTTCGTGCATCATCTATTGAGTAATTGATTGACACCAAATTTTGTTAGCTTTCATCTTTTATATAAAGAGACTTAACTCAGCCGCATGTTAAAACTCATATCGAAACCTCAACTTCTGAGTCTATGGCCACGAGTCCTACCTTTCCCTTTTCCAGCTTGCCTTCGACACTCGTCTTGCCTCGTTCTCTCAAACCTTACGTATGTCTTGGCTTGGCTTGAATGCACACTCTTGGTGTGTTGGATAATTCACTGTCCTCCTCAATCACATTATGTCACTTAACAATCTTGGCCCTCACATGATCGGATGGCACCACTTATGAGTCGCCCTTTGTCTATCTTGCGTGTGAGGGTCACTGTGGAAATAAAAGCTCACTCTGATACCAATTTGTTAAAATAACACTAACGAAACTGTGAAGGAGATGTTGAGAGGGGAGATTCAAGGAGACAACGAATTCTGAAAAATCCTTTTTCTATTTGTACTTAAATTTGCGTACTTCTCCTCTGCCTTTTAGAATGGAAAACAAACTAATTTATAGGTTTTATAAATGCTAAAATTGGCTATCCCATGTGCACCATTTTCTAACAGACTATTCCTGAAACAAGATTCCTGTTATTGGTCTTTCATTTTTTTTTTTCTTTTTTTCTTTTTCTTTCAACTTAGTTTCAAAGCTCACTAAAATTAACAAAAAGAAACAAAACTACCGTTTTTATTTAAGTGTGTTCCAACAAAACTCCTCTCATAAACTTAAATGCTATATTCAATGATTCCACCTGCGCCGTTTTCGTTTTATCGAGCTCAGTCGTGGTTTCTTTAATTTTCTCTCCTTGTCCTCAACC